ATTATTATTATTATTATTATTATTATTATTATTATTATTATTATTATTATTATTATTATTATTATTATTATTATTAACATATTTTAGCTGCTATTCTCGGATCCAATATACTACGAACGTATCTCATAAATTACGCGAGACCCTTAATTTTCTCCACGTTTTTGCCTTATAACAATTTAATTAGCATTAAATGCGCATATAATGTTATCGCCAGTGAACTTGGAGCCCAGGTATTCTATTTTAACTTATCACAACGATTAATTATCCTTCGGTAATCATGATTTTTTTGCTTTTTTGTAGCTTCGAGAGCGGTTAAAAAACTTGATTACATTGTTTAGATCAAGTATCAAAATACCTTCACATATGCTGTTACCTTCCACAAGCGCAATTCAAGGAATCATTATACCTGGTAAGCACATCATGATTGTTGAGTCAATTTTCGGATGTAGATTTAAGTTTGATGACTTTTTTTAAAAAAAAAAACAATGATCAAAAAGGCAATGAAAACGTCGTGAAATTAAGTAAAATCATCCAACAGGCCGGCTACAACGTCAAACCTATTCGTTCTCCGACCGTCCCACCGGGAAGAGAGCGTGTTCGTATATGCATACACGCTGATAATACCAAAGAGCAAGTACTGGGTCTAGTGCATGTTATTGAAAGATTTGTCGCTGATTCGTTATCCTTTTTTGTGGCTGATAGTAACGTGGATGGTGCGCAAACGCATTCGTTATCCTTATCCCCTTCAACAGCCCCGTCATCGATATCTAAACTATAATATTTTAATATGTAATTATAATTATATTATAATTCTGTGTACAACAATTTGATATTCGTAGATGTATTAGTGACAGTTGAAAAATTCACGCATTGGGAGTCTATTCTATTATGTGTTAACCATATCAGAGAAAACACTTAAGAACGATGATAAATTTTTAATATGATGTCGCCATTTATTTATAATTTCATTTGATTCATTTGTTTGAATTTTTTATAAATGAATATATTATTAAAATTACTGATTATTATGTATGATAATTGTTTTTGGTTTTTCGTAAAAAAGATGGCATCATATATTATTGAATATTGATTGTTTCATGTACACTTTTTTTTCGTCTCCTCCATTTCAGCATTCTATTAGCTCTTTCCGACATCCACATCATCTTCCCCCCTAACTTTCTTCCTTCTCCATCTCCAACCTTCGATAATAAATGTGTTGGACACTCGCTACTGATAATTTCCATTTTTAAAATTTTTTAAAAAAAACTAAATTTCGAGAACCAAAATTCATAAGTTTAATTAACTAGTTTTAATTTTTAAATAAGTATAATAAATTATAGTGAAAAAAAATATATATATATAGATTATATATATATATATATATATATATATATGTGAGAGTCAATGAGTCAATGAATGAAAGAAATAAATGAACAAATTATTGAATAAGACAAAAAAAGTAAATAAAATTAAGTTCTTGATTTCAGAATTAAAACGAAAGAGAAAGAAGAAATACACACCAAGAACAAAGAAAAAAGATAAATAAAAAATCGTTATCCCTATCTTAATTCATTTATTATAATTTATATGGTTATTATTATAAAATAATTAATTATTTTATTCATCAATTCAAAAAAAAATCCAACTTAATAATATATTTACAAGATCAGACACTTCTTCACTTGTTTCTGTACAGGGGCAGGAGAAAGAACCGCACGAATGGCCTCATCAAACACATTTTTCAAACCCTTTTGCGTCAACGCCGAACACTCCAAATACCTAACCGCCGAGATATCTTTGGCCATCTGCAGGCCCTGGGGATACGTGATCGGGGACTGCTGTTTCTGCCGTAACTTCAGAATGGTTTCCTTGTCCTCACGCAGATCCAATTTGGTCCCAACCAAAATAATCGGGACGTTTGGTGCGTGATGCGTGATCTCGGGATGCCACTTGCCACGCACATTTTCAAACGATGCCGGACTCACTAACGAGAAACAAATCAAGAAGACATCGGTTTGTGGATAGGAGAGTGGACGGAGTCGGTCGTAGTCTTCTTGACCGGCTGTGTCCCATAGACCGAGGTTTATGGGTTTCCCGTCCACCATGATGTTTGCAGAGTAATTGTCAAAAACTGTGGGAATGTATTCTCCAGGGAAGGCATTAGTCGTGTAACTGATTAAGAGACAGGTTTTTCCGACTGCTCCATCCCCTACTACTACGCATTTTATGGCTTGCATTATTTCTTTTTTTTTTGCACGGAGATTTAGATGGTGATGGTGGTGGAGGTGAAGAGAATTGTTCTTAAATAAAATTGTATAATAATAATTTTGTTTGTTGACGAAACAAAATTTTATCAAAATATTATTATACAGAATAACCAAAAGAACGAAGAGAAGAAAAAGAACGAAGAGAAGAAAAAAAGAGAAAGAGGAGGGAAAAAAAAAGAATTATTATTCTTTATTACTGTTGTTCGGATATTTATTCGTATTTATTATTATTATTATTATTACTATTATTATTGTTTATTCTCTTATAATATTATATCGTTGCCGTCGTTGTTCTGGTCACAATATTCTTTGGTCGTTTAAAAAAGTGATGGTGCGATAGTGATAGTTGTAGTTTGAACACAGCTTAGTTCTACCAACGTATATAAGTAGTGTTGTAATGTGTAAGGATTGGTTGGGGTTACATGCATGAAAAAAGCGAGTAATAATTTAGGCAGTCAGATAAATGCAAAGAAATTTTCTTGTGTTGGGTGTGGTATCAGGTAGCACAACTACACCGCTAAAGGGTCACTTTCTTAATTTGCGTTAAAATTAAAAAAATTATGATTGAATTAGAATTTTTAATTTTATTCAAATTTATCGGGGGTGTTGCCATCGGTCGAACAAGAAACACAATCAATCAAACCAAGCCCCTGCACATCTGACTGACTGAAACACTAATTTTTTCCCTTCCCAGAGGTCATCTTCATTTTGATGGACGGTGGTTTAATTTCCCCGCCTTTCTCTCGGAATTTCCCCACGCCCTCGGCCTCCTCTCCAGCCCCGTTCTCGTCTCACTCTTTCATCCCAATCCATCAAAATCTATCTTTCTATTTTATTTCCATTACTTTCTCTATTTCAAATACATTAATGCCTAGATGTCTGAAAATTCCTTTTGACTAATCATTGATACTAAAGTATAAAGAAATAATACTAAAAAATAACACTAGAAGAATCAAAAGGAATTTAGTTCCCAAAGTTCCACAATATCCTACAATGATGATGTCATATAACATTATTCCTCATGTTTTTTCCTATTATACAAGAAATTTTTTCTCACAATACAAAACCAAAATAAAAATCAGCAAACCGTGTACCATTAATCAAAGATCCCCCAATGATAATAACAATCTATAGAACATCGTTATTACAAACAAATTAAATAATAATACAAAAAAAAAGAAAATAGCGGAATTATCTGTTGTTACACATTTTACAATATAGTACATAATTTGCACTTTGGTTGTGGTTTAGGAAGCGTACTAAGTCCCGCACGAACCGCCTCATCAAACACATTGTTTAAACCTTTCTGCGTTAATGCTGAGCACTCCAAATACTTTACAGCGCAAATATCTTTTGCCATCTGTACACCCCGTGCATACGTGATTGGCACCCCACCCTCCTGTCGCAACTTGAGAATGGTTTCCCTATCCTCACGCAGATCCAGCTTCGTGCCCACCAAAATAGTCGGTACATTCGGCGAATAATGACTAAGCTCCGGTAGCCATTTACTCAATACGTTATCAAACGACGTTGGACATACCAACGAGAAACAAATTATAAAAACGTCCGTCTGTGGATACGACAGGGGACGGAGTCGGTCGTAGTCTTCTTGGCCTGCTGTGTCCCATAGTCCCAGGTTTATGGGCTTCCCGTCAACCATTGGTTTCGCTGAGTAATTGTCAAATACTGTTGGTACGTATTCACCAGGAAAGGCATTCGTCGTGTAACTTATTAGCATACTGGTTTTTCCTACTGCTCCGTCGCCTACTACTACACATTTTATGGCTTGCATGATTTTGGAAATTTTTTTTTTTTCCTTTGCTCGGTTTGTTCTTTTGATTTTTTTATTATTGTTGTTTGTTGGACAATAAAAGCTAGTCGTTACTCGTATGAAAATTATTCTGTGTACATGTGTGTTACTGGACGCGGCTAAAAAAGAAGGGTTCAAATTTTTTTTTCAAAAGAACTGTCACGTATGAACGAATGTGAATTAGTGGACGTCGTGAATAAGGTTGACGTATTTATGTAAGAGCGTGTTATATTGGGTGGGTAAAAACAAAATATGTTGGGTAAAAAAGAACAAAAGATTTAATATAGAGGAATTTTTTTTATTATTTATCTGTTTGATATATGGTGATACGACATCGCAGGAGGATATTTTTCCTTGATTGATCTACCTTTTTTTTTCATTTTCCTTTTTCGTACCTGGATAAAGTATAAAAACCCATACAGTTTACTTCTTTCGAATTTTATGTATTAATTGTTCTACTACCGATAGATTATTTATTTATTTATTTATCGTTATCTATTTATTTTTGACTCGAATTCTCATACAAATCCTTAACCTAAAAAAATCAATGGCAAGTTTCAAGTTTTGCGCTGAATGGTATGCACTACAAATCAATGAATTGAATGATGAATGTCACACAATCAATAATCGAGTGATTGAGTTAAATAACCGCGAACAATAATAAACAAAAATAAACTTTATTTTCACTGTTTCAAATAAATGCCAAAGAGTCAAAAATAATTGGTTCGATAAAGAACAAATCGAATTAAATCAATGTTTATTTGTTTCTCTTGATCCTTGGAAAATCCGAAAAATTGTCATCAAACAAAAAAATCAAACATGTGAATTTAGCAACAACATGCTCTATCCGAAGGAAGACAAAGAAGAACGTATACTGACATACGCATGTCGAAATTGCGAATATCAAGAACCAGCCGAAAATCAGTGTGTCTATAAGAATGACCTCGATAATGCCATGTATGTGATTTTACTGGATTTGTGTATTGGGCATTTGTCTTTTTTTTGGGGGGGGGGAAGGAGTTGATGGGTCTTTACATTGATTTCATTGTGACATTTTTTATTGGAATGACAATAAAAAGGGAGCAAACCACATCCGAGATCAAAGATTTAGCAGCAGACCCAACATTACCACGCACAAAGAAAACATGTCCGAAATGCGGTCACGACGAAGCCGTGTTCTTTCAATCACCGTCGCGTCGACCCGACACGAAAATGACCTTGTTTTACGCGTGTGCTGATGTTAAACGGTGTGGATACCGATGGACGTATCGATGGACATGGAATGATGGTCATGGAGAGGCTGAAAGTAACTATTATCCTCATGTTGTTTGCTTATCGAACATGATTTTTTTTGGCACTATGTTTTTTATTATCTGAATTATAGGTATTGGATTGACACGTCAAGAAGCGGAAGAGGATGATCTACAATTATTAGACGATCAGTTGCAACAAATGGGCGAGGAAGAGGATTTAGACGAAGATTGGAAATTGTTACAGGATAATACTAATGGTGGCGTTGATGTTGATGTTATTGAAGAATAAGTGAAAATAAAATTCAGGATAAAGTTATTTTTTAATTTAATATTAAAAGCGATTGAAGGGTATGTATTTGTGTCTATTATCTTTTTTATGAGTGTGTAATTTGATTGAATGATAATATTCTTTATATAAGTTTATAAATTTTTGAGAGAAAATTGAATAAAAAGAGAATATATAAAATGTATAAATTACACCAGTCATTCTATATTAAATTGTAATTGTATAAAATATAATGCTATTATTATATCTTTTTTATAAAATTATACTTTTTTTCAAAAATATTATATATAATTCATGTAATATCATAGTATATATAAACACTTTCTTTACAACGCGCCCACTTCCTTAAGTTTCGCTATAAGTTCATCAACCGAAGCAACTTTTGTGCCACCAACCCGCACCGGGGGGTCCGTGACCGAAAGCGTTTCCAGCCGTGGACTGATGTCGACATTGAGTTCTTCCGGGGTTAGCACTTGTAGTGGTTTCTTTTTTGCTTTCATTATGTTTGGGAGTGTTGCAAATCGGGGTTCATTTAGTCTTTTTTTTAATTGAGCATAAATTTTAGTAATGTGGTTTGAAAATGATAAAAATGATTGATTGAGAATACAAATATTATACCGTAAATCGGCTGTCACGACAAGAGGCAGCTTAGTGCTTATCGTTTCCAGCCCACCATCAACTTCTCGAGTTACTTTAACATTATCACCTTCAATTTCAACTTTCGAAGCAAACGTAGCCTTAAATCAACCCAAAAATAAGCGTTATCTTATGACACCAAATTCACATAATCCTCTCATCAACTATTTGAATGTATGATTAAATTTACCTGCGGCCAATTCAATAGCCCAGCCAACATCTGCCCTGTCTGACTAGCATCATCATCAATCGCCTGTTTTCCTAAAATCACCAAATTCGGTTGCTCCTTCTCCACCACAGCTTTAAGCAGTTTCGCCACGCCCAACGGCTGTAACTTACTGGCGGTGGCTTCATCTTTAACGTTAACGTGCACCGCCCGATCGGCACCCATGGCCAACGCTGTTCGTAGAACTTCTTGGGCTTTTGGCGGCCCACATGATACGGCAATTACTTCCGAGACCCGGTCCTTTAAGTTTTCCTTGAGTTGTACAGCTTCTTCGACCGCAATCTCGTCAAAGGGATTTAACGAGTGCTTTACACCGGATGTTTCTACTCCCGTTTTTGACTGGTTGACTCGGATTTTTACGGCAAAGTCGATTACGCGTTTGCATCCTAAACGAAGAAATTTCGTTGATTTTTAAAAACTTCGGGGAAACTTAAACACGCTTATTTATTTTCTCTTCTAACTTATATAATTGACATGCCTACAAGAATTCGCAATTTTGACATCGCTGATAGATGTTCATCAAAAAAAAGATGCGATCTCGAGATTAATCGGCTCAAATTGCTAAAGAAGAAAATTATTCCATGTGATTGTTAGATATTTCCATCTGTTCCGTTTCTGCATGCACGTGTAACAATAAGATTTTTACTTCGAAATTCGCTATTAAGAGAAAACTGACAGAGAAAGCTCTAAGAATAGTGTTCTTTGTTTGAGCTTTCTCTGTCAGCTTTCCTTTGATATCTCCTTGACTCCAGAAAATAATATTAGTATAACGATAATAAATTAAAAATGTCCACAAACATTACATGGCATGAAGGTGCAGTTACGCAAATCGAGCGTCAGCAACTTTTGGGTCAAAAAGGCCTCACGTTATGGTTCACGGGGCTCTCGGCATCAGGAAAATCCACACTTGCCTGCGTGTTAGAACAACACCTTTTGCACTGTGGAATAGCGAGTTATCGACTTGACGGAGATAACATACGACATGGATTGAATAAGGATATGGGATTTGGTCCAAAAGATCGAGTTGAGAATATTCGACGGATTGCCGAGGTAATTTTCTTTGACTGACACATTAATCATCATGTATCTTTGATTATGATGCTGTATTTTGGGACAATTGATGTGTTTTTCCACTTATATTTGTGTGCTTGTTTGTGGTTACATTCATAGGTCGCGAAATTATTTGCCGATGCAACACTTATCACTCTTGTTTCATTCATCTCGCCATATAGAGAAGATCGCGATGCTGCGAGAAAATTGCACGAGGAAAGTGGAATTCCGTTCATCGAGGTAGTTATAGTTGATTTTTCGCCAAATTCCATCTCACGCGTATACATTTACCCATATATACTCTACGCGAATTAAAAGATATACGTCGACGCACCATTAGAGATAGTGGAGCAACGTGATCCGAAAGGACTCTATAAAAAAGCTAAAGCTGGGGAGATTAAAGGTTTTTCTTTTTAGTATATTTTTCGCGCACTTCAACATGTTTGATGGATGCGGTGACTTTTTAGTGTACGAAGAAAGATAACAGGCTCCAATAATAAAATATCTCCAATTACTGAAATTTACATCCCCTTCTCCCATCTTCCCAAAAAAAGAATTCACTGGAATCTCAGCACCCTACGAAGCACCGACCTCGCCGGAACTTCACATTCGCACCGGCGAATTGTCAATTGAAGACGGAGCGAAACTTATCGTTGATTACTTGACTGAACGTGGGTATTGCAAATTTGAGACGACTAAAAGAATCACGACAGCATCGTCTGATAAGGCAGAGTTAAATTCTCAGGCTTTTACGAATAAGATAGGAGAAATAGTAAATTAATTATTTGATTGATGTGGCCTAATTTATTTAATTTGATTTGTGTATTTTTAATTTTTTTTAATTTATAATTTTATTTAATCGAAATTTTGATTGACTCCGTTGTATTTCAGTAGAATTAATCAAAAACAAATAAATTATGTATGAATTTATTAAAGTATAAAAATTCTTTTAATACAGTCAATTCTCTAACCAATCCAGCAACTGCGGGGTATAATACGTCAAAATAAGATTCGCACCTACAAAGTTAAAAAAATCAATCAATCAATCAATTAATCCGAGAATGAATTAATTATGAAATTTTAACTAGTTTCGATATTATTCGAATACAAATCTATACAATAAACAAACAATACAAACCGGCACGTAAAAATCCCTCCAAACTTTCAAGAACCGCCACCTTCAAATCAAAAACGCCAGCCTCGGCCGCACGATAAATCATGGCGAATTCGCCCGACACTTGGTACACGGCTATCGGAACATTTGGGCTTAATTCTTTGGCGTCGCGGAGAATGTCTAGGTATGGTAATCCGGGTTTCACCATTATGATATCTGCACCTTCACCAAGATCTCGAATCTTTTGGAAAAAAATTGAATCAGATTAATGAGTATATCTGATTTCTTTATTATAAACCAAATATACATACGATAGCCCGCCGTGCTAATCCACGTGAATTCGGTGGTAATTGGTAACACTTGCGGTTACCAAATGTTGGTGCAGAATTCGCAGCGTCTCTGAAATGAATTATTATTGCTATTAATATTAAGATCCGCAGATTTTTTCTAGACTATTCTGTTGTTATTACCGAAATGGTCCATAAAAGGCACTAGCGAACTTTGCGCTGTAACTCATAAGCGTGACTTTATTACTTAATCCTTCACGAATCAATGACTCTTTAATCGCTTTTATTCGTCCATCCATCATATCTGAGGGGGCAACACAATGAGCGCCTATTCAAAAAAGAATTCATTAAATCAAAGGATCGATAATTGAAATGCATTTAAAAATTTTGAACACGGACCAGCTTTCGCATAATTTATGGCTACCTCTGCTAATCGCTTCACACTTGCAATATTGTCGAGTGTGCCATCTTGATTCAACCACCCTATAAAGGTGTTGATAAGAATCAAATGTATTATTACTTGATTCGCAGTAAAAGAAAAAATTATGTTTAATCATACCACAATGCCCATGATCAGTATACTCGCAAAGGCACACATCACAAGCGACAAACAAATCAGGATACTCATGACGAATCAATTTCACCGTTTGTATTACCGGGCCATTTGGATCGTCTGCAATTGAACCAGTCGCATCCTATCATTAATTTACAAATTTATTATTTGTTGTGGAAAAAAAACAAACTTAAAAGTATCAGATATTTATTGATTAATAACCTTTGGCGTTTTGACAGGCACACCGAAAATAATCACAGATTTTAATCCTTTTTTGACCAGGGGTGATAAGAGTTTCGGAAGTGTGTTTACTCCCCATCTGAGAATATGTGCATAATTGTTTTATTGATTAGATTCTCAACTCTCATTGGTTTACGTTAATTAACTAAAATAAACGACTGATAAACTGCATCATCATCATCATCATCATCATCATCATCATCAATGATACACGTTCAACGTGAGAATAAATTTAAAAAATCACCTCTTTTGACCCGGCAATGTTGAAATTTCTTCCTCGGCATCCGGGACATCACTCACAAAAATCGGATACATTAACGAGGATTTTCGGAGAACACGCTCAGATTGCCATTCACGTATCGTCGGATGATGATATCCACCTTGAAGAATTGAAGAAATATCTGTCATTTTTATTTTTGAAAGATCCCGAGTGGAATACGTGTTGTATTTATTCAATCCCAAAAATATATGATCTTTACCAAAAAGGGAAAATTAATAGTCGATCGACAACCAACCGTTAATTTATTACCATTCATTAATAAATGTTTCATAATTTATGTGTTTCATTATTTGCCTATATAGTTCCTGCGACAAGATATTACACAGTCGTCCCTCTCTATTATCAGCATGATGGGACCATAACTCGGAGCTTAGAGCTAATATAGGTTCAAGCGAAATTAGTTCTGCAATAAATATGATATTAAAGGGGTATTGTTGATATTAAAGAGTTGATAACAGGAAGGGGCGATTGAGCTTAGAACAATGACAAATTACAACGCTATTAGTCCCTGAGAAAATTTCTCGTAATTGATTACGTGTTATAATAACGTATCCTTTTAAAAATCCATAACGATAAGCATGAAAAAAACATCAATCCATGCCTTTGGAACTCTGATCACGAAGCTCAAAATTAGCTCTTCTAGTCGGCTACTTAACCGAAGTAATTAATGAGGATAATAAATATATAGTCAGGGCTCGATTTAACAGAAATCGCAAATTAGCGATATTTTCCCTTACTTAAATTATGCTCGATTTAACGATAGCCATTAGTATTCCCCATCTCTTTAAAAAAAATCTTGCAGTTGTGAAATTATAAATTTGAAGTTATGAAATTCTCATACCAGGCCTATGTGGATTTTTCGAGTTTGAAACAAAATTGTTGAAATATATACATTCAATCTGGTTATAGCGAACCTTGATTATAATGAATTTCCGGCTATAATGAAGACTTCCTAGGATTCATTATAAAAAAATTGACTGTATATTTTTACATTATTACTTTTAAAATGTTCATGGAGTCACTTTGACCGGAAGGGGTAATCAAAAAGTTAATCGATGTCGCAACAACACGCTTTCTACATAGTAATTTTCGTGATAAAACAATTATCGCCCAAATGTGTGATACTTCCTTACATTATTTGAGGCGGAGTTCGTCAAGTTCCAGTCTCCTCTCGATAGCAAATGCTTGCATTATTGCATTAACGTTAATAGCCTTGGGGAATATTCTAACACAATGTTATTTTCTGATAAAAGATCATCACTATGATAAAACGCGTATCATATTGATATTTTACGCGTCATTTTTTCCACTCGCTTTTGGTTGAGCAAAAACACACAATGTCAAAATTTCCCTCCAATGAAATAACTTTATACATACCAGGCCCACCGAAACCGCGGCCGCATCCACGCTCAAATACTTCTTCAATGACGACGCCTGTAGCAACAGCAACCTCTGTGGCAGAAACCAAAGGTAATTCACTCAGGACTCCTCTTCTATCTGAACGTCAAAAACTACAACAACCACCACCACCACATTCACCCTCGATAGTCATAGAGGAATGGCGAAAACTAAAGAGTAGCCAATGCAATGTGTTTTTTGGGAATAATGGACGAACCAGAGTCGCCACAACGGCAACAAAAAGTTTTAAGACTGCAAATAATAGTAACAATATTAATATTAATAAATATAGAGGTAACAACAATATATCTACGTCTACGTCAAAAATACCACGTTTGAAAAGATCTGCCGACTCAGCAGCAGCAGCAGCAGCAGTTCATTATCCAACGTTATTATCGCACGATCAACATCAAAATAACATTAAAAAGAAGACACCTATATATAAAAAAAATGGAATTGAGACAAATTCACTTAATCATGAAAATCGATTTGCTTCGTCGTCAGGAAACCACAAACTCAAATGGAATTCGACACCAATGAATTATCTAAAATCCGTAAATTTGAATAACACTGGACAAGTTTCACCGAAATCAATATTATTTAATCAGACAGCCATCAAGGCTATGTACAAGAACTTTTACAAGCAGTCATTGAAAACTTCTGGATTCTTTATCGCAAGAACTTGCTCTGATGAGACTGGAAACAATGATAATGAATTAGTTGTGGATCGGTTTGATGCCGGGCGAAAAATTAAGATATGTGGTGATGATCAAGAGATTACAGAGCATCTTCAGCCTACTATTTTGATGGATGGGGATGTTGCGATTAAGGCTTTTAAATTAGAATCATCATTTGAGTCAAGACAAAATAATGATTATTCTTTTCAAACGGAACATTTTGAGCGTGCTTTGGATGATCTTCGAATAGAGCTTTTATTAGAGGATAAAAGAGTACCTTTTAACACTAACAAGTGGTTAAGCAGCAAACTAGTAGCAAGTTGTATTTATGATACACAAAATGGTTCACTGACGATAATTTGTCACGATTTAAGGATTGTCAATACACAATTGATATTGACACAAGTTACCGGGTTTAATGATAATTTAACATCAAGACAGACTCTATCCCTACCATCTAAATCCTCTAACAGCAGTGGGATCTGGTGGTTGAATTCAAGCGCTGATGACCAAATTTCATTTTCTACTATTTCTTCCGTTAAATATTTAAAGACGTCATCATCTATAACTGATGGAATTTGGATAAAAACGGGAATCGATGAATTTACGATATCGAATTGTTGTCTTCAACATATTTTAAGAAATGTCTTCATTGGGAAAAACCCGCATTTCTATAAGAAGAATTTGAAAATTATTTGTATAACTAAAGAAAATAATCATGATGATGACGATAATGATGATAATAATAACACAAATAAATTTTATGAATGTAATTTTCAGTTTGGCGATTCTATTTTTGATGTGTCTTTGGGCTCTACAACTATTCCCATGAAAAATATTGAATCATCATTGTCAACGGGGATCCCTTCACCGGCATGGCCATTAAAATTAATACAAATTAATCCGATTGCGGATATTAATTTCATAAATGCAATGAATAAAGTATTCAATGGTCCTATCATGCTGATGAATCCAGTTGTTAATGCCCGTGATATCAATTACAATAATTATAATGACGATTACAATTACATGGATCTCAAAAATAATGTGATTAAACCAGTTGAAGAGACATTAGGCGCACTGGATATGCGACTTCAAAATTCAGATCAAGCAAAAAAATCGGATACAAAAGCGTCTTTTTCATTATCGCAGAAACAACAATCAGCACCAACATTAAAAGTGAGAACACCAGAGATAATACAACAAATGATTTTTGTGCATCAACAGAAATGTTTGGATTTTTTGCAGCAACAAATGGAAATTCTTCAGGGACAAATTTTTGGTGTGCTACTTTCCTCAAATGATGCTTCTACTGCGCAAATCGAAACATCGTCAATAATGGCTACCGCTTCAAATACTCGAATATTTACTCGTCATCATCATCAACAGTCTGTTGACATGAATTCGAATCATGGTGAAGATGATGATGATGATTACTTCGATTACGATATTTCAATGAACAAAAAGACAATGCGCTGTGATCTTGGAAATAATAAAACATTTATAAAGACTGAGACAACTATTATCGGCAGGAACAATAATAACTTCAACTACAACGACAACAAGCATTATTGCTACAGAGAACAACATGCGAATAACCACAACCATGATGCTGATCCGAAGATATACAGCGAAGTTACTAGCCAACAACAAAGACCCAGAACCATTGAAGACTTGATGATGATGATGACGAATAATAGCAAAGATAAGAATGTCAATAATGGACCATCACCGTGTTACGGTGTCGAACCAAAAATGATATTAACGGCACCAAGCTGTCAACATATAAGAAATAATAACGCCTACAGGGGAGATGATAGAAATGAACAGAATTTTAAAGAGCTTATTGGGAAATTTGTTAATGATCCAGAACAGAGCTTTATATTAAAAAAGGATTCTACTACCCCCAATTTTAATAATAACAATGATCATGATAATAATGACTATTAGACATTATTATTCTCTTAATGTATAATGCCCAACAGAAATTTTAAATGATTCAACTCTCCCGGCTTCATTTAGGGGGTGCAAATAATAAAATTCATCCGCTCCGAGCATTTTGTCTTTTTGGCCGTGTGTGATAGCCACAGCGAAAAATTATGTGATTTCGACTTGACACTGATCCGGCACAGGGACACGGAAAAATTTGGACATTAATTCGGAAAAATTTGGATTTTGGCCAGCATTAGAAAATTAAGAAAATGCACGTGACGTAATTCTGGATCTTGGCCAGCATTAAAAATTAAGAAATGCACATGACTTAATTCTGTATCTTGACTAGTATTAAAAGAAGTTACTATAGAAAGTACGAGTATAAAATTAATGCCAGTCTAAATTATATATTTTTAATTAAAAATTGGATGATTATTTTTTATTAAAATTAAAATATAATATATTAAATATTTTTAATAATTCTTTATTTAAATTTTGATAATTATTTACTAGAATATTATTAAAAGCTGAAAAATTACTTTTAACTATACAAGAAAACAAGAAGAAATAGACAATCAAATATAATTAAAGACTATATTACTTAAAAGAGAAAAGTAAGATATAATTTTTTTCTAAAAAATATTATAAATTATTATAATTAAATTTAAATTATAATAAATTATTTATTCTTAAACAAGAATAATTAAAGAGTTAGATAATTCAGAAATATTATTTGCATATTTTTGAATTTTATAATTATTAATAATTAATTGAGAAAAATAAGAATCAAAAATTAGTTTTAAAAAGAAATCAAGAAGAATATAATTAAAAATAATTATTAAATTTTTTTTGCAATATTAAAAGCTAATCAAAAAATAGAATTATAAATAGAAGAATCTGAATTATATTTAAGAATTATTAAAGTAATATGAGATTCAAAATTATTGATAGAAATATTATTTGAAATAAAAATATCTAAATATTAAATATATTCTTTTATAAAAAGAAAAAAGAATTATATTTACTTTAAAAAAATTCAAATTAGAAATAAATTATTAAGCTAGATACTAAATAAATATTAAGTAAATTTTAATATAAATATTATTATATTGATCATCAAAAATAATATTAATTATATTAATTATTTTTATTTTTTTTATTTGTTATTCTTTTTTATAAAAATTCAAATATATACTTTAAATAATTATAATTATATCAAGAATTCTATCTAGTTATATTTAATAAAAAAATAAACTATATAAGATTAATATTATATTAATAGCTTAAATTAAATTTTGAATTTTATATCAAATTAAATAATTTATATAATAATTATAATAATTTTTAAGTAAATAAAAAAGATTTCTTGATATTTATTAATAATTATAATATTAAATATATAATCAAAATTTATACTTTATTAAAATAAAAAATAATAATTATTTATTTATATTAATAATTATTATATTATATAAATACTAATCTGATTAAGTTTAATATATATATAAAATAAGTATTATTTTAAAGTTACAATATTAATAAATAAAAATATTTCTATAATATTTTTTATATATAAAATTAAATTAAATAAAAAAGTTTATAAAATCAGAAAAAAATTAACTATTTAATTAAATTTCAAAATATTAATTATTTAATAATATTATTATTAACTATAGATTAATATAAAAAGATTTGTATCTCAGATAAATATTAATAAATTATTTTTTAAAAAAAATTTAATTAAAATTAATATAAATATTATATAGTAAATAATTTTATTATTTAACTTTGAATCTTAATATCTTTATAACTATTGATTTAATTTTTATGAAATTTAAAATATATATTTATCAAATCTAGAATAATTTATTTATATAATTTAAAGTTTTAATATTATAAATTAATA